CTGCCCCGCTCGACGAAGACGCAGCTGCTCCCGGAATCGGCCCCAGGCGGCGCCAGGGATCAGCCGTCGCCCCCATCGTGGGCGCCCCCCCATTCATGGCGCGCACGATAGCTGACACGGCCGCGCCGACGTTGAACAGCACGCAACCCAGCTGCACCACGGCCGCCTCGATGCTCGACGCCGACTTCGCCATCGCGTTGATGCCCTCCAGAAGCGCGTCGACGCTCTCGGCGAACGCCTCCATTGTGCCCAACTGCCTTCGGATGGCTACTAGGGCCCGGTACATCTGAGCCCCCTTGGATCTGCGCGGGCCGCTGCGCCGCATGCATCATGCACCACCACCTCTACTATTTGATCTACCACCCCTGAGCCTTGACCCAAGGCTCCGACACCTTCAGGACGTACCTACCACTGGTCGCTTTGGAGCAGTGTCGACAGCTCGTCCACCGTAGTCATCGCTGCTCCGCCCGCCTCGAATTGCGGGTCCGATTCGAGCATGTCCACCGCCTTCTGCGCCGCGGCCGCCGGGGCCCGAGCTGCCTCCGTCACCGTTCGGGGCCGGCTGCCGTCGTTGTTCTGCCCCTGCGCCCGCGGCGCCCACGCCAGTCGCACCCCGCGCCGATTGTACTTGGAGCTGCTGCCGCGTTGATTCCCGCTGTACTGGGCGGCGCTGGTCGGGCGCTCGCACTCGGGAGCGGCCTCGGGGGGCGGCCCGGTAGCCGCTGGACCCGCCAGCGGAGGTAGCTCCTCCTCCTGGGTCGCAGGAACCACCGACGCCAGCGCCGGCGCCGCATCTGGCGGAGGCACCGCCGGCGCGGGAGGCTTAGTGGCCCTGGGCAACGGGCACCACGAGACCGCGCTCGCCTCAACGACCCACGAAGCCGGCCGAGGCGGCGGCGGATGTCCCGAGGCACACCCGGCAGCTCACATCGCTGAGCTGCCGGAAGGAACCGTCGACGCCGTCGGCCACGAAGTGGCCCGCACAGAAACATCGGAGCTGGCTGCCGCTCCTGTCTGCCCGGCCGCCGGCGCTGCGCCGCCGACCCGCGGATGCTCGAACGTCTCCGAGAACGCATTGGATTCGCCCCCCTCCGTGACGCGGCGGGACAGAAACTCGTCGGCTTCCAGCTCGGCGTCGGTTTCCTTCCTCTCGCCCGCCCAGGCGCTCCGCAAAGCCACGACGACAAAGATCACCGCGACCACCTCGGTCGCCGGCCCCCCGCGGATCTCTGCACGGCGAGGCGCGTAGCTCGCACGACTCACTTGGATGGTCTGCAAGCCTCTCCGAAACCTCTGGGGCCAAAATGTTCTACGGCGACGCACCCTCGGATGCGGACGGGCTCGCGAGCTCCTCGCCTGAGAATTTGGTCGGGAACTCCAGTCTTGTCTTCTGTTGAGAATCCGTTCTACTCTGGAAATCTCCGCGTTCATCGCGTCGTTGACGCGGGCTCTTGGGCCCAGCAGCCCAAGGGCCGCGCCGACGCGCTTCACCTGAGCTCGCGCGAGGGATCCCGGGAGGCAGATCTGCCCAGAACAGGCGGCCCGAGGCCGCGGCCGATCACGCTTCTCCAAGATGCCCCCCTGCAGATCGCCATGCGACTTCCAAGACGCGCCCCACTCGAAGCAACCCCTGGCTCGCGTCGCAAACCCGATCACGAAGTACCGGAGGCCCGAGGGCAGGGGGCGAGGGAGGTGACGACGCACCAGGACTGCGCCCCCTCTGAGTCCAACTCTGGAGTCGGACCCCGCCAGCACAAGCGAGCGCGCGTTCAAGAAGAGATACTCGGCAACGGCCGACTCCAGAGCGCTACACTGCCCCTAGGACTCCGCACATATATCTCGGCCACCCGGCGGCCCGACCCGAGACGGGACACGCATCCCCCTGCCCCAACAGGCCCAGCGACGACAGATTGCGCGGCAGACCCAGGACGCGCCCCAAGAAATCCAAGGTTGACACTGACGATGAGGGGGGGGCCCCTTCGACGACCGCGGCCACGTCTACGCCCGAGACCCAGCTGAGGCACATGGGGAAGAGGATCGCGGCCATAATCTTGGCCTGACCCCCGATGCCCCGAGCGCTCTCGGGGCCGACTTGCACGAACGTCAAGAGAACCTACGCCAACACCTGAATCTCTCGAGTCAACGAGAGCCCGCCCACCAGATCCGCCCCAGCTCCAGGACGCGCCAGACCCAGTGGCGTCAGCATCCAGCTAGATCTCGCGACTCACGACCTCCGCCTGCAACTCCCTCAGGCCCTGCAAGCTCTCGTCGGCGATGGCCGCGAACGAAACAGCCCTCAAAGGTGTAACCGTTGACGCGCCTGTCGCCTGACAAGTGCTTCGCGCCCGGCTTCTGTTCTCTGGGCTCCATGGCTGGGTTGGGACACTCGAGACCAGTGCCCCTTCTCCTGACACCGGCGGCACCTAGTGACCCTCATGAGCTGCTTGATCGATATGTTGTTTCTCGGGGAACCTCGTTGACCGTTGCGATCTGGTTCGCGCCCCTGTCGATAGCGTCGAAATCCGCCGCGTCCACGTCCAGCACTTCGGACTCCGTCTCCTCCCAGCCGAGGTCTGGCTCCATGGAACTCTCGATCTTGCCGCGCTGCTCGCTTCAAGTCTTCGTTATGATTCCAGGTGAGCTACTTCGCGTTCTGCTCCATCTGTCTGAATATCTCTTCGGCCTCATCTTCTCCCACGTCGAGGTCAGCGATCTATGCCAAAACGGCATTGAAATCCTCCTCTGTGATGTCTTCTGGATCGTCGTCGCCCCCTGGATATTCATCCGTGGCGCCGTCATACTCGTCTTCAGGAATGCCCGAGCCTGAGCTGGCTGGAAACGAGTGCTGGGGGGGGGGGAAAAAAAACACTCTGGCCGCCCTCTTCAAGCCTGCCTACTTCTGCGGCCAGCACAAGATGGGCGCTCGTCCGGGCTAAACTTTCGGGTTCTGCTGGCCCTGGACCGGGAAAAGCAGCTCCTTCTTCTGTATGAAACCTTCGACTTCGCCGACATCCAAACATCGTGGCCCTCAGCTTCAAGGAATTGCTAGTCTCGCCTCGCCACGTACTGGGTGATCGTCTCCTTGGCCTCCCTGGAGCACTCGAAGAGGGCTCTTCTGCCTGCTCGACGCAGGTCGTCTCCTTCACGCTCGCCACTCATCACATCAATCTTGCCAAGGAGCACGTCGAGCCACTGAGGATTGGCCAGGAAGGCCTTGTTTACATCCTCGAACTTAGCCTGCATGGACCACTCAACATGTAAGAAATGTTTCGGAGCGCCGCCACTGCGGCACATCTGTATTACCATGTCATGTGACTGTCGACCGCTTCCAGAGCCGATAACGCCCCCAGCCCGGCCACACGGGCCGCAGAGGCTGAGGCAGGCAAAGACCCAAGGGTACCCTTGAAAAAGTCGTTTGTCCTTACTATGCGCGTTGACTGGATTGTTCAAGCTTTGGATATTCCAGCCACTGGCCTGCTGCCGCAAGGACTCCCTCTTGTCCTGGTCCTGGTGGTCGTCAGCCTGCCAGCTCCTGGTCCATGGACCCTTTCTTTCGTCGCTCCACGGATCGGGGTCGGGATTCCTCTGGAGGAGGGAGGAGGGAGGAGGGAGGAGGGAGGAGGGAGAGCCGTCTTCTTCGAGCTCAGTGTCCTGCACGACGCGCTGCACCAGCTTGAGGACCCTCTCCTCCCACTGGTCGCTCGGCTGAGACGGCTGCTGTGCTCCGACTGTTTCTGCTGGCTCTCCCTCACTCCGGCGCTCGCGAGAGCTGGCTGTTCCTTCCCGCACTGCTGGAAACAGTTCTTCTCGGTTTGGATATCCGCTGCCCTCCGCTGCCGTCGCGGTGGATCCACGCCCCGTCCTTCCCGGGAGACGGAGCCGGCCACAGGCGTCGCGCAGTGCCTCCGTCGCCGAGTCCTCAGCCACGCTCTGCACCACCCTCCCTGCCCATGGCCGGCCCCGCTCCGCTCCCAGCTGTGGCAGCAGCAGGACGAGCGGAAGCTCTTTGCCTTGAGCCGAAGCGCGAAACGAACATGCAATGTGTCGAACGTCTCTGGACAAATTGACCCGGACGACTCAGGTCGACACATGTTCGAACGGACTGGTAATGAAACCCAACCCGCGAAAGTAGGGGGCCCGCCACAGTCTGGCTCGACCTTCAGGCTTTCCCTCGTGATGCCTTAGACTTGAGGTTCCGCTGGGCGCGAGGACGTTCGCTCCACTCTCTATTTCAGTGTATCTCAACCTCGGCTCCTCATCATCCTCTGCATCCTCCAGCTCCTCGCCCCCACTGCCCCAACTTGGATCGCACCGAGGCATCAGACACGACGGCAGCGACGGAGAAAAACCAGCCACAAAACAAAACTCCACATGAACGGACTCCCTCCCATGGTTTACGGAGCCTGCCAGGGGCAATGCCCGAGGCGACGCCAGGGGGGAGCCCGCGCCGACCACCTACAAGAGCTTACATGTATGCAGGTGCGTCTGCTATTTCAGTCTTGTCCTCGTAGCCGTCGCCGTCGCCTCCGCCGTCGTCGCCGTCGTCATCGTTGGTGGCCGCCTGTTTCCCTTTTTCTCTTTCAAAGGCACGATGGCGAGACCCATTCGCCTGGAGACGCCCGCCTTGACGACGACGACGACGACGGCGGAGGCGACAGCGGAGGCGACTGCGGAGGCGACGGCGGAGACCACGACCGCGACCACGGCGACGGCGACGGCGACGGCGACCACGGCGACGACGACGACGACGACAACGACGACGACGACGACGACGACGACGACGACGACGACGACGACGACGACGACGGCGGCGGCGGCGGCGGCGGCGGCGGCGGCGGCGGCGGCGAATGCGACGGCGGCGGCGGCGGCGACGGCGAATGCGACGGCGGCGGCGTTGGCGACGGCGACGGCGACAACGACGGCGACGACGACGACGACGACCCGCGCCGCCTGGAGACGCTCGCCTTGCCCGCGGCCTCGGGCAAGGCAGGCGGCGAGGCCTCCGCGAGGGGCGGCGGCGCCCCGGCGCGGGGGGTCGCCCTGCTGGCAGCCTGGCGGGCGGCGGGGGGGGGGGAGGAGGGAGGGAGGAGGACGACGAGGAGGGAGGAGGAGGGAGGGACGGCGAGGACGAGGAGGGAGGAGGACGAGGAGGAGGGAGGAGGAGGGAGGAGGAGGGAGGAGGGAGGAGCAGGGAGGACGACGAGGACGACGAGGAGGGGAGAGGAGGGGGGAGGGAGGGAGGGGGAGAAGGACGGAGGCGAAGGAGGACGAGGATAAAGAGGAGAAGGAAGAAAAGAAAAGGATGATGAGGATGAGGACTAGAGCAAAACCAAGACGCGTCGACGATGCTGCAATCAACTCTCTCTCTGCAAATCCGCCGGCCCCCTTGTGGGGCCACCAGGCTGTAGGACAAAGCTTCGCTTCCTGTACCAGTTGCAGCTTCCAGTTTCCACTGTTACAGTTCTGCTTCTTGCTGCTTACTGTTCCTTGTTACAGTTCTGCTTCTTGCTGCTTACTGTTCCTTGTTGATGGACCGCGCGAGGGGGGGAGGCCAAAAACAGACATTCTTACTACGCCCTGAGCGTATGCTCTGAATTGCTAGGGTGGGTAAATATTGACACCCCTCACGCAGATCGGCGGGGTCAGGGTCCAAAAACACAAGGGATTTGCAACATGTCTAACATTCGGTGGCACCCCTCACGCAGATCGGCGGGGTCAGGGCCCAAAAATACACGGGATTTGCCACATGTCTAAAATTCGGTAGCACCCCTCGCGCAGATCGGCAGGGTCAGGGTCCTAAAACACAAGGGATTTGCAACTTTGTTTAACATTCGGTGACACCCCTCACGCAGATCGGCGGGGTCAGGGTACAAAAACACATGGGATTTGCCACCTTTCTGAAATTCGGTAGCACCTCTCACGCAGATCGGCGGGGTCAGGGTCCAAAAACACAAGAGATTTGCCACATGTCTGAAATTCGGTGGCACCCCTCACGCAGATCGTCAGGGTCCAAAAATACACGGGATTTGCCACATGTCTAAAATTCGGTAACACCCCTCACGCAGATCGGCAGGGTCAGGGTCCAAAAACAACAAGGATTTGCAACATTTCTGAAATTCGGCGGCACCCATCCGCAGATCGGCGGGGTCGGGGTCCAAAAACACAAGAGATTTGCCACATGTCTAAAATTCGGTAGCACCCCTCACGCAGATCCGTAGGGTCAGGGTCCAAAAACACAAGGGATTTGCCACATTTCTGAAATCCGGTGGCACCCGCGACTAGGGTCAGGGTCGAAAAACAAACAGGTCCCGACACTGCTTCACGGCGGCGCCCAGACCTCATGATTCAGCTTTTGCATCTCCCATTATCCGAGACAGGGGGCCGGCGGCATGGGGCGAAGCCCTTACGGATTCATTTTTTCAGATGGCCCTGCAAGGACTCTTGTGAATTGAAGGAAATGCCCAGTTGGAGATCATCCCTCTAAAAACCCTCAGCCGTGCCAAAACACGAGTCCTGGGACTTAGCGCCGCGACTCATCGTGGCTGTTGCGTCTTGGCAATCCGAATCTGCGCCATGACGCCATTCCAAGGACTTCAACACCGCGAATCAATGTGACTGCTGTGTCCTGGCAATCCTGGGACCTCAACACTGCGAATCCTTCAAGCAAAGCAAAACAATGATTGCCAGAGGGTCAGAGATTCTGACACTATGACTGGTCTATGGTCCTGTTATACGATCGTCCCTTGACCGACCATGTCAGTGCATTGGATGCTCCTGGGCTTGGCCATTAGACTGGGTGTATCCGCTAAGCTCCCTGAGAGCCCAGAGAAGCCTGTGGAACTTTTTCAGGGTCCCGCGAGGATCCCATCAGAAGCCCTGTCCCTCTCGCCGCCCACCAAACGAATCCTCCTTGCTACTCCCGCTCCTCCCTCTATCCTTTTGCCACATTCAAAAATAGCTTCGCGATGAACAGCAAAATCGATGCCACCCTCAACGCCCTGGTGCCGCGCGCACCGCGCAGAAAGAGAGCGCGCAGCTGCTCGAAGCGCCTGGAGGCGGCCGCGGCGGTCCACTGCGCAAGACCGCCGGACTCGCGTCCGAGCCTGGCCAGGACCGCCCCTGTCCCTGGGAAAAAAACACACAAAAAAAACAAAAAAACACAAAAAACACCCCAAAAAACAAACACACACACACACACACAAAAAAAAAAAACACAAACAACACACAAAAACACACACACACACACACGTTGGCAAACGGCTCCTGTATAAACGCTGCGGGTGCTGAACGCAGCGGGTCTTGCCGGGAGAGGAGGAGAAAGAGGATGGCAGGGGATGGGAGGGAGGGGGAGGATGGAGGAAGGGGGGAGGGGGTGGAGGGAGGGAGGGAGGAGCAGGAGTCCCTCCGAAGGAGGCCCTCGGAGGCCTTACGCGCGGGAGGGTCCTGAGAGTGTACTGACAAGGTCCTGAGAGCCTCTTGCAAGGCTCTCGAGAGGCCCTCGGGAGGCTATCGGGAGGGCGCTTGGAAGCTCCTGAGAAGTCCTGCGAGGCTACTGGGAGGGTCCCGAGAGGGTCCTAATCGGCTCCTGGAGAGCTCATGAAAGGTTCTTGAGACGCTCTTGAATGAAGTGGGGCGCAATTGTATTATTGAAGCAGCCGTGCTTTTTGCATTGCTTCGAAAATATCGGCCGACCCTGTTGGCGCGGGTGAGACGATTTTCCGTTTGGGTCGTCGTTGTCGCCGTCGCCGCTCCCCCCTTTTTCCTGGGCCCTCCTCCCGAAGCGATCCATCAAGCCGAAATCGAACAACGTCGAAATAAATTCAAAGAGAAACCCGTTCCCTTTGATCCCTTCCCTGCCGGGGGAAGGGCGGGGTCCGGGGGGGTCCCGCGGGAGGTCCCGGGGGCGGGGTCCCCAGGGGGTCCACGATTCATCCCACGTTGTCAGAGTATACAAAAACATTGGCAAGCGTTACCGAAGTCATAAATTGGATTACGTTGTGACCGTAGCATGGCTTAACCGCTAGATCATCTTAAGGTTTTAGCGTACGTGTACAGGCTTGGTGCAAATAATGCTAAAACATGTGAAGGCTTAACGTTGCTGAGGACGGTGATGCTTATGATTGTGATGAGGGTGGTGGTGAGGATGAAGCTGGTGATGTTTCAGAAAATGGTAAAGACGGCACTGGTGGGATGATGATGTGAATACGGCTAAGGCCCGCAGCCGCGGAAGCATGATTATGACAAAGAAACTCATGATGATGGTGGCGATGTTCAGGCAATGGTGACGATGTCTGATGGTGGCACTGCTTGTAATGATATTGTTCGTGATGAATGGAGGAAGAAGAGATGAGGACGGCGATGGTTGATGGCTGCTGAGGGTGATGGTGATGGTGATGGTGACAATGATAGTGATAGTGATGCTGATGATGGTGATGGTGATGATGATGACGATGATGATGATGATGACGATGACGATGACGATGACAATGACAATGTCCATGACGATGAAAATGATGATTATGAGGATGGTGATGATGATGGTGATGATGATGATATGATGATGATGCTGCTGCTGCTGCTGCTGATGATGATGATGATGATGATGATGATGATGATGATGATGATGATGATGATGATGATGATGATGATGATCGGGAGGAGAAGGAGGAGGAGGACGAGGGGGATGATGAGGCATCATGAGGAGCAGGAGCAGGATGAGTATGAGGAGCAGCAGCAGGAGCAGGAGGACGAAGGTTGAAGTTGAAGCTATTGATGAAGCTGCAGCCCAGCGTTTGCAGCAGCTGCAGTTGCTGCGGCACTCCCTGTTTCAAGAGTCGAAGGCGTCGCACCCAGGCGGGTGCAGAACCACAGATCGCTTCGCAGACCGATGCGACCAGCAAGCGATAGGCCGCAGGATCGCCTCCAGCCGCACATACTGCGAGCCCAGGCTCTGCGTCTCCCAGACGCTGGAGCCCTTTCCCGCACTGCGCTGGACCAAGTTGGAGGGGTTCTCTTGTAAGTACTACCGGCTTCTAAGAGGCCTTCCTTGAAGGCCCCTGAGTGTTCCAAGATGGCCGCCGTCCTGCCAACAAACCCCCTGCCTTCTCAGAAGGCCGCTCCCCAATCTGGGGCCCGGGAATTGGCACCAACACCAGCACAGGGGGTTGCCTCCACCGTCCACCGCGGGAAGAGGATCCGATGATCCTGGATGTTTGGTGCTGGTGGCGATCTCTCGGGCACCAACAAAGCCCGAACATCACCTCAACTACCACCGAGATCAGGGCCACCTTCCCTCGGTGGAGACACCCGCCGACACCAGCGATGGTGCTAACCTTCCAGGCCTGACGGGGACGCCAGGAAAATGATGAGACCCAGTCTGTGAAACTTGATGCGAGCTCCTGCGAGAAATACCCCACGAAGGCAGGAACGAAACTCGGGATGGGCGCGCAAAAGAGGCGTCGGCAAGCCCGAGCTCCAGCGAACGCGAGATTTAGGCTTCCCCGATCCTGCTCTGTTCCATGCGGGGCTCCCCGGAGCTCTGGACCCCTTTCCCGGGCCCAGCTCCTCGCCCGGGCACCGCTCCGTGCCGGCCGCGGGGCCCAGCCGGGGGGCCCCCCGAGGCAGCAGACGACGAAGGGACCTCAGCGCCTCGATGCGTGTTCCAGACGCCGGAGGCCTGGGCTCTGTGCCTCCGACCCCCTCGCGCCAACCCCCCGCGAGCATGCATTGAGCCCCCCCTGGCCGGTATAGCCCTCTGGACAGGGGAAGAAGTAGGCTCTTCCCCTTCGGCCTTCGAGGGGCCACATCCCGAGCTGGGGGGCGGGAGGGTGGGGCCGAGGCACTGTGACCCCGTGGGGGTGGGGCGTAGCATGATCGATACCTCTCCCAATTCCTCTCGTCTCCCTGGCCATCTCTCGTGCATGCTTCAGCGATCCGTTCATCACTGAAGAATTATTTTGGGGCGCGAAACCGGCACTCTCAGGAGAGGAGTGCATCAGCGCGCTGATTGACGAAACATCGATCCCGACTTCGGCTGCACTTGCTTCGGTTTTGTTTCCCTACCTGGGCTCGGGATACCCTACCCAACGGGTTGAAAAAGTAGGTAGAAACGTGAAGCAAGAAGGCGTTGAAAACAGATTGGGTTCCGTTCGCCCCCAGAAGGGGGACAGAAAAGGTGAAGCCACTCGATTACTGAGGTAGGAAGGCGCTCAAAGTTTCAAGCAGTTTGGAATCTGCGAATCCAAAAAGTATCTGCTTCCAACGACCGATGGGCCGATGGGTAAACGATACCGACTCGCGCCACCACCTCCCCTGCGCGCCGCCTCCTCCACCTCCTCCTCCTCCTCCTCCTCATCCTCATCCTCCTCCGCCTCCTACCCCCCCCCCCGCTCGTTTTCATCTTCGTCGTCTTCAGGGTCGGCGGCACTGGCCGCTAGGCCTTCGCAATAGATTCGGATCCGTTCGCCCCCTAAGGAGGACGGAAAAGGTGAAGCCACTCGATTACTGAAGTAGGAAGGCGCTCAAAGTTTAAAGCAGTTTGGAATCTGGGAATCCAAAAAGTATCGATACCGACTCGCGCCACCACCTCCCCTGCGCGCCGCCTGCCCCTTGGCGGCACTGCCCCTCCCGCGGACGAGGGCGGGGCAGCGGCGCGCCGTGCCGCCGCCGTCGCTGCCGCCGTGCCAGGACCTGGCCGGGGGGCACGAGGCGGCCCTCGGCTCCAGCGTCCTCGGGGGGGGGGAGGGAAGGACGAGTAAGGGGAGAATGCCGGAGGAGGAGGAGGAGGAGGAAAAGGAGGAGGAGGATAAGGGAGGGAGGAGGGGAGGAGGGGAGGAAGGAGCACGGGCACGTGAGGCAGGACTGAAGGGAGGAGGGAGGGAGGGATGAGGAAGGAAGTACGGAGGAGGGAGAGAGGGAAGGAGAAAGGAGGAGAGGAGGAGGAGGAGGGAGGAGGAGGGGGAAGCGGGGAAGGCGGGGGAGGCGCGGGTGGAAGTGGAGGAGGCAAGGGGGAGGGAGGGAGGGAGGGAGGATGAGGTAGCAGGAGAAAGAGGGGGAAGGAGGGGAGGAGAGCGGAGTGGCGAGGAGGAGCAGGGGCGTCCCCGTTTGAGGAGGAGAGGGGGACGAGGACCCTAAGAAACCCCTTGAAAATAACCACCATTCTCCCCCCCCTCCCGCCTCCCTCCGCCACCGTCCGCCCGCCGTCCTCCTCCTCCTCCTCCTCCTCCCTCCTCCTCCTCCTCATCCTCCTCCTCCTCCTCCCCTCCTCCTCCTCCTCCTCCTCCTCCTCTCCTCCTCCCTCCTCCCTCCTCCTCCTCCTCCTCCTCCTCCTCCTCCTCCTCCTCCTCCTCCTCCTCCTCCTCCGCTCTCCTCCTCCCTCCTCTCCTCCTCCTCCTCCTCCTCCTCCTCCTCCTTCCTCCTCCTCCTCCTCCTCCTCCTCCTCCTCCTCCTCCTCCTCCTCCTCCTCCTCCTCCTCCTCCTTTCATTCTCATTATGAACAACTCGAGGCCAGTTTTTAGGGCGGACCGGGCGTTTCGCCTCCTCTACCTTTATGACCCTGAAGCTTCACAAATGACAACATCTTCACGGACTGAGGGCGGGTGGTTTTCAACAGGTGGCTCTCGCCTCAGCGCCGCGCACATTTGTTTTGGAAATTTGCAAGACCTTCACAGATTGAGGGCGGGTGGTTTTCAACATGTGGCTCCCGCCTCAGCGCCGCGCACATTCGTTCTGAATGTTTACAACAAGAGCTTCAACGATCGAGGGCGTGTGTGTTTTACAAATGTGGTTCCCGCCTCAGCGCCGCGCGCACTCGTTTCTTAATGTGCAAGACCTTCACGGATTGAAGGCGGGTCGGTTTCAAAATGTGGCTCCCGCCTTAGCACCGCGCACATTCGCCTTAAAATGTACAAGAGCTGCACGGCGTGAGGGCGGGTCGTTTTCAACATGTGGCTCTCGCCTTAGCGCCGCGCACACTCGTTTCAAAACAGTTGCAAGAGTTGTTGATGGATTGAGGGCGGCTCCTTTTTTAATATGGCTCTCGCTGTAGCACCGAGAACATTCGTGTTAAACATCCGCAAGAGTTTCAGGGCTTCCCATGATCAGCGTACTGAAAATCATGTGTTGGAAGGATTCTGGGTTATGAGGGCGCGGCAATTACGTTGTTTCGCTGTGCTGAAGTCTCAGGGATGGTGCTCTGACACGATTCAAGATCGTCAAGACGCGACAGTCTGGTTGATATGTGGTGTCGACATCCCGAGAACATTGTTTTTGCATGCTTCAGAGTCTTCAAACGGTTGTCTTCCAGCGAGGAAGTTCCCTTTGTGGAAATGAACCGCTGTATGGGGCCTATGAAAAGGGAGCTTGGAGGGAGGGTTTCCACTGGTCCTCCTCCTCCTCCCCCTCCTCCTCTTCCTCCTCCTCATCATCAGCATCAGCATCATCATCATCATCATCATCATCATCATCATCATCATCATCGTCATCATCATCCTCAGCATCAGCATCATCATCATCATCATCATCATCATCATCATCATCATCATCATCATCATCATCATCATCATCATCATCAAAATCATCATCATCATCATCAATCATCATCATCAGCATCATCATCATCATCATCAGCACATCAGCATCATCATCATCATCATCATCATCATCATCATCATCATCATCATCATCATCATCATCATCATCATCATCATCATCATCATCATCATCATTCTTATCATCCGCTTGCTCCTCCAACTCCTCCTCACCCTGCTCCTCCTCCTCCTCCTCATCCGCTTCCTCCTCCTCCTCTTCCTCATATTCATCCTCCTCCTCCTCCTCATCCTCCTCCTCATCCTCCTCCCTGTCCTCCTCCGCTTCCGCCGCCTCTTCCTACGCCTCCTCCGCATCCTCCTCCGCCGCCTCCTGCTCCACCGCCTCCTCATCCGCCTCCTCCGCCTCCTCCTCATCAACATGTTCCTCCTCCTCCTCCTCCTCCTCCTCCTCCTCCTCCTCCTCCCCCTCCTGTTCTTCTTAATATCAGTAGTATTGATAGTAGTAGGTTCCGTATTAGTAGTGTTCTCCGCCGTATTGGTAATACTATTGGAATTCGTAATGTCAGACTCCGTATCAGCATTACTCGTAGTATGCGTAGTCGTAGTCGTCGCCGTATTATTGTTAGTAGTAGTATGTTTAGTGGTATGATTAGTGGTTGTAGTATTACTGTAACGCGTCGTTTCATTAATACTCGTAGTAGTAGTCGAACTGTTCCCCTTCGTCGTGTTCCTACTCCTCCTCATCATCCTCAGCCGCCTCTTCCTCCAACTCCTCCTCCTTTTCCTCCTCCTCCTCCTCCTCTTCCTCTTTCTCAGCATCCCCGTCCTCCTTATCCTTCGCCTCCTCCGCCTCCGTCTCATCCTCTGCCTCCTCCTCCTCATCATCCTCTTCCTCATCCTCCTCCTCATCCGCGTCGTCCTCATTCTCAGCATCCATCCATCATCCCATCTCCCCTCCCTCCCTCCCTCACACCCGCCCGAACTCCCGCCCTGCCGCCCTCCCGCCCTCCCTACATCGATTTCTCCCTGCCCCCTCCCTCCCTCCCCCCCCCCATTCCTCCCTCCCTCCTGTCTCCCTCCTCCCCCTCCTACTCTCCTCCTCCTCCCCCGTCTCCTCCTCCCTCCCTCCTCCCCTCCTCCTCCTCCTCCTCCTCCTCCTCCTCCTCCTCCTCCTGCTCCTCATCCTCCCCCTCCTCTCTCCTCCTCTCCTCCTCCTCCTCCTCCTCCTCCTCTCCTCCTCCTCCCCTTCGCCTGTGTAGTAGTATTCGTCATGTTGGTATCATTATTGTTCTTAGTACTATTATTCGCGTCAAGGCTCTGCTTACTGTGAGTATTATACGTGTTCGAAGTATGCGTCGTCGCCTGAGTAGTAGTATTAGTCGTGTTCGTAGTCTTCGCAATCGCAATACTATCCGTATTAACGTTAGTATTAGTAGTCGCTGATCCTGCTTATTAGTATTGCTAGTACTATGTGTGAGATTATGTTACGTATTCCTGCTAGTATGACTAGTATTCCGCATCCTCATGCCACCCTCCCTCTCTTCCTCCCTCCATCCCTCCCTCGTCCTCCTCTCCTCCTCCTCCTCCTCCTCCTCCTCCTCCTTCCTCCCCTCCTCCTCCTCCTCCTCCTCCCACTCCTCCTCCTCCTCCTCCTCCTCCTCCTCCTCCTCCTCCTCCTCTCCTCCTCCTCTCCTCCTCCTCCTCATCAGCATCATCATCATCATCATCATCATCATCATCATCATCTATCATCATCATCATCCATCATCATCATCATCATCATCATCATCATCATCATCATCATCATCATCATCATCAAGCATCATAATCTCACATCATCATCTCATCATCTCATCATCATAATTATCATCATCAGCATCGTCAGCATCGTCATCATCAACATCATCCATCATCATCACAGCATCATCATCATCAGCATCACATCATCAACATCATCATCATCATCATCATGATCAGTCATCATCATCATCCGTCATCATTATTCATCATCATCACACATCATCACCATCATCAATCAGCATCATCATCAACATCATCAGCATCAGCATCATCATCATCATCATCAGCTTCCCATCATCAGCATCCATCAATCATCACATCATCATCATCATCATCATCATCATCACATCATCATCATCATCATCAATCATCATCATCATCATCCATCATCATCATCATCATCAATCATCATCATCCGCTTCCTCCTCCTCCCCCTCCTCCTCCTCCTCGCCATCCATCCTCCTCCTCCTTCTCCTCCTCCTCCCTCTCCACCTCCTCCTCCCTCCTCCTCCTCCTCCTCCCTCCTCCTCCTCCTCCTCCTCCTCCTCCTCCTCCTCCCCCTCCCCCTCCTGCTCCTCCGCCTCCTCCCCGCCTCCGCCTCCGAATCTGACTGCTCTGCCATCCGCCTCCGCCTCCTCCTGCTCCTCATCCTCCTCCTCCTCCTCCTCCTCCTCCTCCTCCTCATCCTCCTCCTCCTCCGCCTCCTACGCCTCCTCCTCAACCTCCTCCTCATCCTCCTCATCCTCCTCCGCCTCCTCCTCCTCCGCCTCCTCTTCCTCCTTCTCATCCTCCTCATCCTCCTTATCCTCCTCCTTCTCCGTCTTCCCATGCTCATCCTCAGGCTCATCCGCATCCTCATCTTCATCCTCATCCTCATCCATCCCCATCAGTACGGCATCCTCCTCCTCATCCTCAACCTCCTCCTCATCCTCGTCTTCGCCCTCATCTTCATCCCCATCCTTATCCTTATCCTTATCCTCATCCTCATCCTCATCCTCATCCTCATCCTCATCCTCTTCCTCATCCTCATCATCATCCTCATCCTCATCCTCATCCTCATCCTCATCATCATCATCATCATCATCATCATCATCATCATCATCATCATCATCATCATCATCATCATCATCATCATCATCATCATCATCATCATCATCAGCATCATCATCATCATCATCATCATCATCATCATCATCATCATCATCATCATCATCATCATCATCATCATCATCATCATCATCATCAGCATCATCATCATCATCATCATCATCATCATCATCATCATCATCATCATCATCATCATCATCATCATCATCATCATCATCATCATCATCATCATCATCATCATCATCATCATCATCATCATCATCATCATCATCAATCATCATCATCATCATCATCCTCGTCCTCATCCTCATCCTCCCTCCCTCCCTCCCGCCTCCCTCCTCCCTCCTCCCTCCTCCCGCCTCCCTCTTCCCGCTTCCCTCCTCCATCCCCCATCCCCCTCCCCCCCTCCCCCCTCCCGCCCGCCCCCCTCCCTCCCCCTCCTCCTCCTCCTCCTCCTCCTCCTCCTCCTCCTCCTCCTCCTCCTCGCTCCTCCCTCCCTCCCTCCCTCCCTCCCTCCCTCCTCCTCCTCCTCCTCTTCCTCCTCCTTCTCCTCCCCTCCTCCTCTCCTCCTCTTCCACTCCTCCGCCGCCGCCGCCTCCACCTCCGCCTCCTTCTCCTCCTCCTCCTCCTCCTCCTCCTCCTCTTCTCCTCCTCCTCCTCCTCCTCCTTCTCCTCCTCCTCTTCCTCCTCCATTTCTTCTCCTTATAAATAACTCCCCCTTATCGCACCCCGAGGCCAATGTCTAGGGCGGACTGGGCGTTTCGCCGGAGACTTCCTCATCATCTATGACCCTGGAGCTGAAAAATTGGCAACTGGTTCACAGATGCGAATCTCGCCTTGGCTCCACGCACATTCTTTCTAAACATGTGCAAGAGCTTCACGAATTGAGTGCGGCTCCTTTCCAAAATGGAGCTCTCGCCTTAGCGCCGCGCACATTCGTTTCTACTTGCAATCATTTCACGGATGGAATGCGGGCCGTTTTGAAAATGCGGCTTTCGCCTTAGCGCCGCGCACATCCTGTTTAATTTGCAAGAACTTCACGGATTGAGGCCGGCTTCTTTCCAAAATATGGCTCTCGCCTTCGCGCCGCGCAGGTTCGTTTCTTGTGCCACAGCTTCACGGGTGGAGGGCGGCCGTTTTCAAAATTTGGCTCCCCAATTAGCGCCGCGCACATTCGTGTTCTAATGTGCAAGAGCTTCACGGATTGAGGGCGAATCCTTTCCAAAATGTGGCTCTCGCCTTCGCGCCGCGCACATTCGTTTTTTAATGTGCAAGAGGTTCACGGTTTCCCATGGTCAACGTACCAGAGATGGTGTTTGGGAAGGATTCGCAGGATTCCGGATTATGAGTGCGCAGCAATTACGTTGATTCGCTGTGGTCCAGTCCCAAGGATGGCGTTCTGGCACGCTTCTGGATCGTCGAAGCGCAGCAGTCAGGTTTATCCGTGGCGCTGGAATCCCGAAAACAATCTTTGGGCATGCCTCAGGGTCTTCAAACGGTTGTCTTCCAACGAGGCAGTTCCCACAACAGAAATGAACCGTTGTAGGGGCTGGTGAAGGGGGAGCTTGGAGGGATAGTTGATTCCAACATCGTTGATGACTCTTGGGTTTACGCTGGTCCTCCTCCTCCTCCTCCACCCTCCCTCCATCCATCCATCCATACATATATCAATTCATCCATCCATCCTCCTCCCTCCTCCCCCGTGCCGTGGGAGCAGGGGTGGAGGAAGCCTCCCTCGTCCTCCTTCTCCTCCCTCCTGCTTCCTCCAGGGGGAGCTCCCGAGGTCCCTCGACCGAGGTTCCGAAAGTCCCCAGGGGCAAGCGTGGCCTCCAGGAGGCCCCGGGATGCCCAAGCATGCGCCAAAAGCATCCCAAAAAGCCCAACGCTCCCCCCCACCTACCCCACTCAGCACCCCTTCCTCCTCCTCCTCCTCCTCCTCCTCCTCCTCCTCCTCCTCCTCCTCCTCCTCCTACTCCTCCTCACCATCACCACCACCATCACCATCACCATCACCATCACCATCACCATCACCATCACCATCACCATCACCATCACCATCACCATCACCATCCTCCTCCTCCTCCTCCTCCTCCTCCTCCTCCTCCTAACCATCATCATCATCATCATCATCATCATCATCATCATCATCATCATCATCATCATCATCATCATCAGCAGCAGCAGCAGCAGCAGCATCATCATCATCATCATCATCATCATCATCATCATCAGCAGCAGCATCATCATCATCATCATCATCATCATCATCATCATCATCATCATCATCATCAACATCATCATCATCCTCATCATCGTCATCATCATTATCATCATCATCGTCATCATCATCCTCCTCCTCACCAGCATCGCCATCATCATCATCATCATCATCATCATCATGATCATGATCATCATCATCATCGTCATCGTCACCATCATCATCCTCCTCATCATCATCATCATCATCATCATCATCATCATCGTCGTCGTCGTCGTCGTCGTCATCATCATAACCATCTTCATCATCATCAACATCATCATCATCTGCAGCAGCCTCATCAACATCATCAGCAGCAGCATCATCAGCATCAGCATCATCAGCATCATCATCATCACTAGCATCAGCAGCATCATCATCATATTCATAATCATCATCATCAGCAGCAGCATCAGCATCATCATCATCATCATCATCGTAGTCATCGTCATCGTCATCATCATCATGAGCATCATAATCATCGTCATGACCATCATCATCATCATCAGCATCACCATCATCATCAGCATCAGCATCACCATCATCATCATCATCATCATCGTTATCGTCATCAGCATCAGCATCATCATCAGCATCATCATCAGCATCATCATCACCATCAGCATCATCATCATCGTCATCATCATCACCATCATCATCGTCATCATCAGCAGCAGCATGGGCAGCACCATCACCGTAAGCATCACCACCACCACCACTATCATCATCATCATCAGCAGCGTCATCATTAGCATCATCATCATTATCATCATCGTTGTCGTCGAAATCATCGTCAGCATCATCACCACAGCCACCACCAAAACCATCATCATCATAACCAACAACAACAACAGCATCATCAGCATCAGCAGCATCATCCTCATCACCACCATCACCGCTATCATCACCAACACCACCAACATCCCATCATCATCATCATCATCATCATCAGTATCATCATCAGTATCAGCATCATCAGCATCAGTATCAGCATCACCATCATAATCATCAACATCATCAGCATCATTAGCATCATCATCACCACCATCACCACCAACACCATCACCATCCCATCATCATCATCATCATCAACAACAACATCATTATCATAATCATCATCATCAGCATCAGCAGCATCATCATCATCATCATCATCATCATCATCATGTTCATCATCATCATCATCATCATCATCATCATCATCATCATCATCATCATCATCATCATAGGCTGCTCATCCGTCCCCTGGCGGGGAACTTGCTCCTCGCGGGCACCAGCGCCCCCAGTGGCGAGAACTTGGTCACCACGGCGTTCGACGGGGAGAAGGCGTGTGCGCGGGCACCCCCTTCCAGATCTCTCGACCTGCCCGTCCCCAGCCGCGCGCACAGTGCGTGGAGCCGCCACTCCTCCTCCTCCTCCTCCTCCTCATCCTCCTCCTCCTCCTCCTCCTCATCCTCCTCCTCCTCCTCCTCCCCATCATCATCACCATCACCATCACCATCACCATCACCATCACCATCACCATCCTCCTCCTCCTCCTCCTCCTCCTTCTCCTCCTCCTCCTCCTCCTGGCACCTGTGCCACTGGGACCCCTTCCCAGGAAAACAGCCGGGTAGCAGCCCAATCGTCACCCTTGTTTGCCCGTAGGGGGCCAAGGGGAAAGAAAATTGCTCTCGTCGCCAGCGGCCACCTATGGAGTGGGTGGTGGGTAGCTTGGGCGTCGGAGCACGGACTCCGGCGCCCCCTACCCCGAACAGGGCGCGCGGCGCACGATTTCCTTGGGTTCCCTGTTTCGCGCACTTAGCGCGCCACGGGGGCATGGCCCTGGATCGTTGGCGCTGCTCTTAGCCATTTTCGAGGGCTGGCTAAAGAGTCGTTTCATCCTCGCAGTTCATGTCAAAAAAATCCTCCTCCTCCTCCTCCTCCTCATCCTTCTCCTCCTCCTCCTCCTCCTCCTCCTCCTCCTCATCATCATCATCATCATCATCATCATCATCATCAGCATCAGCATCAGCATCATCAGCAGCAGCAGCAATATCATCATCATCATCAGCAGCATCCTCATCATCATCATCATCATCATCATCATCATCATCATCATCATCATCATCATCATCATCATCATCATCATCCTCATCCTCATCCTCATCCTCATCCTCATCCTCATCCTCTTCCTCCCTCCCCTCTTCCGCTGTCCCTCCTCCCCCTCCTCCTTTCCCTCCACTCTTCGTCCTTATGAATGACTCCTCCCTGTCGCACCCCGAGAACAGTCGGAAGGGCGGGCCGGGCGTTTCGCCTGCGACTTCCTCACCATCTATAAGCCTCAAACTTGAAAACTGGCAACCTGTTCACAGATGGAGGGCAGGTCGCTTCCTAAATGTGTTTCTCGCCTAAGCGACGCGCGCACTCGTGTCAAAAAATTGCAAGGGCTTCACGGATTCAGGACAGGTCGTTCTCAAAATGTGGCTCTCGCCTGAGCGCCGCGCACATCCGTTCTAACATTTGCAAGAGCTTCACGGATGGAGGACAGGTCGTTTCCAAGATGTGGCTCTCGCCTTGGCGCCGCGCACGGCCGTGTCAAATGATCCTGGCGAAGGACCCAACCATATGCAGTTGTGAGCACCGCAATTGCGAAAATCGTATTCGGCGGAGCTCCCTGTGGGGCCACGAGCCTTGTCAGGCGCGTGCCGAGATGTCTCGGCGGCGAGGCGACGGCCTCCCCAAGTCCTCCGACGCTCCCGCTCCCCCCGCATGCGGAGCCCCCGGGGGCCCTCGACCCCAGACGACGACGACGACGACGACGACGACGACGACGACGACGACGACGACGACCCCAGACGACGACGACGACGATGACGAGGACCCCAGACGACGACGACGACGACGACGACGACGACGACGACGACGACCCCAGACGACGACGACGACGATGACGAGGACCCCAGACGACGACGACGACGACGACGACGACGACGACGACGACGACGAATACGACGACGACGACGACGACGACGACGACGACCCCAGACGACGACGACGACGACGACGACGACGACGACGACGACCGAGCAGCTCGGAACATTCCCTGATCAATGAGGTCGCTGTTTGCTCACATTCTCGCCCCCGCCGCTTCTGGCATCCAGACATGTCTCCAGAGGCGAACCGTCGCTTTCCCTGCAAGGTCGCGGCCGGTGAAAACATGAGTCCCTCGCCATACTGCACACGGTACTGCGGCGTGAACGCAGCGGCCCTGACCGCGGAGAGCGCTGGAGTTGATATACTCGACCCTGCTGGCCTCCAGCCAGGCGGACGCCAACTACGGTCAAAACTGACAGTAAGGATGCTCGGCAAGGGTGCAAGCCCCTTGGACGCCCGTGGTAAAGTTTTTTGACCAAGGTTTGCCATCGAAAGGGGTTAAGGATGGACCAAGGAAGCAGGGATGCAAGGGTACTCCGAGTCTCTTAGTAAGCGTCGGGGGGGCGTCAACCACGCCGACAGCCCCACATCGACCCCTGTCGCGGGCAGCCATCGCGCGCCGAAGGCGCTCCGACCCCCGCCGCGGCTCGACGAAGAGGCGAGGCTGACCCCCGTCGGGGGGGTACCCCCCACGTTTGTTGAGAAACCCAGGGTACCCTTGGGAAGGCGACCCACGCCTCGCCATCGCTCGCACGTCCATTCCCCGTGCATGTTTCGAGCTCGTGCGTACATTTTTCGCTGAATGATCAAAGATGCTCCCCGATTCAGCGAGCGAAGAACGAAACTTTCCAGCCGCCCAGGGACAGGCGCCCCCGACAGCGAAAAAGTTTATTTTATACCGTTCTTCGCCCATTAATCGATGGTCCTCGCCGAGAAAAAAATAACATAAAATATAAAAAGACGCACACGCCCGAGCGATGCCGAGACGCTGAATGTCGGCCTCGACGGCCCTCGACCCCGCTGGGCTCTCCAGCCGCGGCGAGCCCCGGCCGCGAGGAGGCTCCCCGACCACGGCCACCGCTTCTCTTTTGTTGCCGCCTTCCAGCCCGCCTCCCTCTCCTCCCCCTCCTCCTCCTCCTCTTCCTCCTCCTCCTCCTCCTCCTCCTCCTCCTTTTCCTCCTCCTCCCTCCTCCCCCCCTCCTCTTTTCCTCCTCCTCCTCCTCCTCCTCCCCTTCCTCCTCCTCCTCCTCCTCCTCCTCCTTTCCTCCTCCTCCTCCTCCTCCTCCTCCTCCTCCTCCTCCTCCTCCTCCTCCTCCTCCTCCCGCCTTCCAGCCCGCAGAAACAAAGCAGTGGCTGCGGTCATTTTCGTTGCGCTTGGCACCAGGGAAATGACCGCAGCCACTGCTTCGTTTTCGGCCGGCTGGAAGGCGGCGCAAACAAGAAGCAGTGGCCGTGGTCATTTTCCCGTCCCGCATAGGTGTGAGAGACGGCCCGGAAGCCGAAGCCCCTTCTGAATCCAGAGCGGTAATGCAACTCGCGAAGCGCAGCTACGGTCAAGTCGGGCCTGTCCCCCCACAGGGGGGTTTTCGACGAAAAACAAAATTACATATACATATATATATATATATATATATATATATACATATTCCAAAAATAGTCTGGGGACTATTTTTGAGTATTGTTACTTTTTGGAATATTTTGGGGGTATTTAATCTTTTCGTCGAAAATACCCCTGTAAGGGGACACGCCCGACATAAGGCTACGGTAGGTTCGTGCGGCAACGGCCCTCGCAGAGGTTTTTGACACCGCGCCGATCGTTCAACCTTGAACTGGTGCCGGCCCCGATCGGTCCAGGTTGATGTGGACCAGAAAGCAAACGACACCACCCCACCTTCGGCCCCACGGGACTTAGCGTGTACCAGGAAATTCAGCCTAAGTTTCTACGTCGTACACGCTACGGGCCACGACGAGCCGTCGCGCAGCATGAAGGGCCGTAAGTGGGGTGATGTCGCTTGTTTTTGGGTCGAGCTGAATTCACTCCTGTCCAGTGGAGTTACCATGTCCATCGGTGCTTCCAGACAGACAGACGGAGCCCGCGCCAAGGCACCCACGAGGGTGTGGCGGGTGCGCGCCGGGGCGCCGATGAGGGTTGGCCGCTCAGAAGCAGCCAGAGTCGGAGCGGTAAGAGCGGAAGTCGGAGACGGAAGCGGAGCCAGAATCGGAAAGAGTCGGTGCTGCCGCGTCGCAGAGTTCAACCTTGATCGCCTCCTCCTCCTCCTCCTCCTGTTCCTCCTCCTCCCTCCTCCTCCCTCCTCCTCCCTCCTCCTCCCTCCTCCTCCTCCCTCCTCCTCCCTCCTCCTCGCTCCTCCTCCCTCCTCCCTCCTCCTCCCGCGTCGGCAGCGCGCCCTCGCCGCGCGAGCCGACCGTGGCTCCGAGCTGTCTCTTGGGGGTGGCCTCCCGGAGCACACGCCGAGCCCGCCCCCATCCTGGCGCCCGGGGGCGCCCCGGGGGGGAGGGAGGTCTGAGCGCTGACCCAGGAAATTGAAGGGGCCCTGGGACACACAAATAAATACACACAAATAGAAAGATTCCCATATTTTCCATATTTTTGTGGTTTCTGTCTTCCCCCCCACTTCCCATATTTTCCTATATTTTCTGGGGAATCGAAGATTAATTGTGTCTGTGTGTTTCTTTCCCTCCTGAGAAATCCGCGCGGAGCTCCGAAGATTTGCGCGCATGCTGCCATTGGCTAATTCGATTCTCGGCGGCCCGTGCCCCGTTCGAAGGCCTCCCAACCCTTCGGGGGGAGCGGAGAAGTACCGATGCCGCCACGCCCAAGGCCCCCCGCTGGGCGCGTTGGGACTAGAATCCTGAGGGGAATCCAGCCGCGGCCTACAGGACGAGCAGCGGTGTCAGCACCCTGAAATCCGACGTTGCGAAGCACATGTCGCATCGCTAAAAAGACACGACCGCACTCTTCCAGCCATATCGAGGTGTGATGGGCTTTGGGGCGTGGAACAACATGGGGCGAATCAAGCACGCAAACGGAAGGAGCTCTGGGCCACAACACGCGTGAGAGGTGTGCCGAAACGGAAGGAACGCTTACATTGGAACCGCGTCGCTAGGTCCTTAGGTGTGAGGGGTGTGCCGAGATGGGGCGGCGGCGCCATGCGGACGACGCCACGGGGACCTTAGGTGGAGCTTCCCTATAGGGCCACGAAACGTGTGAGATGTGTGCCAAAATGGGGCGGCGCCGCCATGCGGACGGCACCACTGGGACCTTAGGCCTCCCTATGGGGCCACGAAACGTGTGAGGGATGTACCGAAATGGGGCGGCGCGACCATGCGGACGGCGCCACTGGGACCTTAGGTGTGAGGGGTGTGCGAGATGGGGCGGCGGCGCCATGCGGACGACGCCACGGGGACCTTAGGTGAAGCTCCACGAA